GATCATGTTGGGACTGGTCGGTATCCCCATATTCTTCATGGAACTGTCCCTGGGTCAGTTTTCTAGCATGGGGCCAGCTACTTGTTGGGGATTCGCTCGACTCTTCAGAGGTAAGTTACACCATAATTATCTAAAGACACCAAATTAACATTATTAGCGACTAGGATTGACAGAAAGTGATGCCGAGTTGACAAATCAAAATACCAAATGAACATTGTCAGCTAGTGTGTCTTCAGAATTGCAGCTGTAGATTTTTTCTGTTAGAAGTCTACAGGCTAATACCCGAATCCTATCGCATGTAACTGGCAAGAACAGCAGCGACATGTTATAGAGACGGCAGGCTTATTCGGAAGGAACAAAATTTGGTTTGTAGAACGTGAGAGAGGGGTTTTTGGGAACCGAGCGCAACTTTCCTTCGAAACGTTATCCAAGCACTTCCTAAGAACCACGTAAAGCCGTAACTGAATTTTTGAATTTTGGTTCTGGTTAAAAATAAAAATGAGCTCGACATGGACATCGTGATCTCAAGATTCAATACTTCATCAGAACTAGCTGTAATTTTAATTTTGAATTTCTGTTCAAAGTTTAAATTGAGCCCTAACTCTACTACATTGTCTCTTGGCCCTTAACTTAAGTTAAACTGTAAATCTTGAATTATGTTACAGGTATTGGTTTTGGAATGGTCATAGTATCATCTCTAGTATGTATTTATTATAATATGATTATTGGATGGGCGTTCTATTATCTCTTCGCCTCATTCACCTCAGTTTTGCCCTGGACAACTTGTGACCCAGCCTGGAGTACTGAACGTAAGTGGTTTTAACTCACTTTGGATTTTTATATGAACAATGTTATCCTTAAGCAATGGTGATAAACAATAATGCTACCGATGCTTAAAGAACATGTGTTATCTGTGATCTAGAGCAAATCATTGGTCAAATTGTAAACTAGAACCATAAAAAATCTTACCATCAAGTTTGTCACAAGTGTAGAATTTTACATTGAGAAATACCATACTAACGATAAATTGATCACTAGATTTTTTTGTGGAACGAGGCCCGGGATCTTAACTTTATTATAAAAATACTAACAGACAATTCGGCACAACCGCAATTCTATTTCATTTCGTTAGATTATTTTAGGGG